CTCCTTACTGTCCCCCCAAGCCCCGTCTACATTGTAGGGGTGACAGGGCCTTCTCCTGTTATGCCCCCAAGCTCTGGAACTCTCTCCCCAGGGATATCAGAGAGTCACCTTCTCTAAACTCCTTCAAATCCAGACTCCAAACCCTCTTCTTCAGAAGAGCCTTTACTGAACTGGTTCCACTCTTCATCCCTCTGCTTTTCTTAGTACCACCATACACAGAGGATCCACGGTCTCCTCTGTGTATTCTCATTGTGTTTTATCTGGTGTGTTCTTCTTATTTATTGTTGTTGTCATTCTGTAAAGTGCTTTGAGAAGCCACCTTTAAAGGCGCTATATAAAATAAAGTTTATTATTATCATCTCACATGTCCAGCCTTGCAATATGACCCCTTCAGCACACTGTGGATAGGGGTTGCTGGGGTCTGTTCATTTAGCCTTCAAACAAGAGGTAGGCTGAGATGCCATAAAGCTGACTTGTTTTACCGGCCCCAGTGACCTAACGCTACGGAACAAAAGACAGGACCCAGACCCACATCCCACACAGGATAAAGCAGATCAATGTCTGCTGCGTGTCAAAGGACAGAACCCAGAGCAGGACAGGAAGTAATTATATATCGAAGAACACCTGAGCGGAAACGTTGTGTTTTCTCTCTTCTCTTTTCCGCCTGGAATAAACGTATTACTTGTTCCTTATCAAAGAACAGGACAAGCACTCAGATTGGGAGACCCTGTATAAGCGCTGGGAAGCCCCTGCAAGGTGTCTGTCCTGTGGGGCAGACCCAGTGTGGGCTGCAGTCTTTATTGAGGCTCAATCACACTGAATCTGCACAAGACTTGTGTCCCTGTGACTCTCTGTCCTTCATCCCCTGTCCCTGTGACTCAGTGTCCCTCAGCCCCTGTCCTTTGACTCTGTCCTTCACCCCCTGTCCCTGTGACTCACTGTCCTTCACCCCCTGTCCCTGTGACTCTGTCCTTCACCCCCTGTCCTGTGACTCACTGTCCTTCATCCCCTGTCCTGTGACTCAGTGTCCCTCAGCCCCTGTCCTGTGACTCAGTGTCCCTCAGCCCCTGTCCCTGTGCCTCTGTCCTTCACCCCCTGTCCTGTGACTCACTGTCCTTCATCCCCTGTCCTGTGACTCACTGTCCTTTATCCCCTGTCCTGTGACTCAGTGTCCCTCAGCCCCTGTCCCTGTGACTCTGTCCTTCACCCCCTGTCCTGTGACTAGCTGTCCTTCACCCCCTGTCC